CCATCCTCAGGCTGCCCAACCTCAAAGGAAATCCCCGGGGGGGGGGTGGGGGCATCTTCCTGATGGGTGAGCCAGAGCATCATGAGCTGGTTGAATAACACTTATTCTGATGCACCTGCCCAGTGGATGATCCTGGCCCCCTGACCCCCCAGGGTCAGAGTCAGCTCCAGGGTGCACCTGGCGGGAACAGGCAGCAGCCCCTGAGCCATGTAGGTGGCCATTGGCCCCACCCCAGACCCCTGATGCGAGAAAGGGCAGCTGGAACACCCACAGCCAACTGGGTTTCCCTTTCAGCCTCATTCTGAGGTCTGGCTGTGCCCTCCCACCATGGGGCTGCTCGGTCTTCCTTTCTCCCTCCTCCTCCAGGATGGGCTCCTATGGGAACTCTGCAGACCATCCTGTATAGACGGGGGGGAGTACCATGAGGGAGCTACAGGCCCCAGGACAGCAGTGGACGGGGGCGGGATTTGGGGGTAGCCAAGAATAGAGCTGCTGGAGCCATTGATCCCTGATGCTTTCATCCTCATACCAGCCGCTCCAACCTTACCCACTCAGATCTCCTCATGAGAAAGGAATTGGGGGGGGGGGGCGACAGGGAACAGTATGGGGGAAGTCAGAGCCTTAAGAGTACAGTGTCCAGTGGAAGAAGGTGGGGCCTCCAGGGAGGTGGCCTGGCATGAGGTGGGTATATGGAGGGACTCACTGAGGAGCCTGAGGAAGGAAACAGGGCTACACTGGATGGATGATGCCACCAATCTTAAGTTTCCTTAAAACTTTCAAGGTGATCCAGACCTCATATCTGCTGTAAAGACCGTTGCCGTCTGGGAGGTGTTTGCACCCCGTCCTTCTGGGGCCCTGCCTCCTCCCTACCCCTGTGTCTCGTCCTCACAGGTCAAGGGGGAAAGAAAGGCAGCCACAGCCCCCCACCAGCCAAGTGGTAACCCAGCAGGACTGGAGGAGATAGTCCCTTTGGTGGTGGCTCGTCCGGAAGATCCCTACACCCCAGGGTGAGTGGATCCCTTTGGGGGTGGGGGTGGCCCAGAGATTGGACAGAAAAACTGATGACTTAAGAAAAAGTGCCAACCTTTGAAATAATAGTAACAGTATAATAATAATGATGATGATGATGATGATGATGATGACTGTGTTCTCTAGAGCCCCCCTGAGCATCACGGTCCACTTTCTCTGAACACTCGTGGTGGAGAGCCTGCTCAGAGAGGCTAGGTGACCTACCCGGTGTCACACAGCGGAAGGAGGAAGCTGACCCAGGCTGGCAAGGCCTGACTCCCTACCAGATCTTCACCACCAGGTTTCTGTGGCCTCAGTCCCTGGAGACAGCCCTTAGGGAGCCGTTCTTTGCTCTTTTCTTTTCCTGAATGGACAAGGCAGCTCAGGGCAGGGCCCATGGGTACGGCAGGGGGCTCCTGGACCTCAGCAGCTTTGAGGGGACTCTGTGCTTATGGCAGAGGTGGTTTCCTGCCTTCCTGTCACCCCCAGGTTCTCACCTCCTCCTCCAGAGCAGGGGCTGAGGGCCCGGTGGACTGCCCAGTGGGGAGAACCAGGGGGTGCCAGGTGCAGCTCCTTCCCATCCCTCCTTCACCTCATTTCCTCCGTGTATCTTCTGCAGGAATCAGCTGTATTTATTTATTTATTTATGAATTTATTTATTTATTTAAAACTTATCTTTATTGTTGAAAGTATTACAGATGTCCCTCTTTCCTCCCCATTGACCCCCCTCACCCACCCTGTATTTATTTATTTATGTATAATCCTCACCTGACGATATTTTTTTCATTGCTTTTCAAAAAGAGTGGAAGGGAGGAAGGAAAGGAGGGAGGGAGGAAGGGAGGGAGGGAGAGAGAGAGAGAGAAACATTGGTGTGAGAGAGACACATCAACTGGTTGCCTCCGCAGTGTCCTGACCCAGGGCGGGGAGCGAACCCACAACTCAGGTACATGCCCTTGACCAGGAATTGAACTGCGACCCTTCAGTGTGCAGGGCCCACGCTCTAACCACTGATATACACAGGCCAGGGCTGTATTTATTTATTTATCAAGATCTTATCTCTCCCACTGGCCTGAAACCATAAGTTTGGGTTTTTTTTGTGCGCTTTTGTCACCACAGTATCCCCATTTCAGGGTTTAAGACTTGCATACAGAAGGTGCTCAATATATGCTGATAGAACAAGGAAGCTTCTCCAAGTCTCTGAATTCGGAGACCCTAGGAATAAGCTCTCCAGGATGCTTGCCCCTGTTCCTCATCCTGCCCCAACAATTTCCAGGACCCTAGGGGGCTTAACCCTCCATGACTTTTGCTCTGCTCAGAGTCCCCCCACACACAGCCCTGCTGGTGTGACCCCTACCCCCACTCCCTGACTTGCCCCACCCTGTTTGCCTCTTCCCTCTAACCCCGCTGATCTCCCAAATGCCCTTGGTCCTACCTCAGGGCCTATGCCTTTGAAGTGGCCTCTGCCAGGTGCACCCTTCTCCCAGCTCGTCCAGTGCACCTCCTGGGCCCATTTGAATGCTCCCTCTTCCGAGAGGTTTCTTCTCCCGATCACCCCAGTTAAAGTCTCCCCATCCCTTTTCCCAATACTTTTATCTAGAATTCTTATTGGTTCCTAATTTGGAGAGGATTGTTCCCCTCCTCTAGAACTTCAGCTCCAAGATGGGCAGGTTTGCATCTATCTCAGACTAGATGTCCCCAGCACCAGTCAGAGAAGGGGCTTGGTGGATATGTGAGCCAATGAATGAGTGAGTGAATACCTTTCCCACTCTTCCACCCCACCCTACTCACAGGGGACTCAGCATCCAGCCTCACCTCTGCCCAGGTAGCCATCAGTTAGACCTAGGGTAGGGCTGAGATTTCTGTGGATGCACAGCTGGGAGCTTTGGGGGGTGGCCAGGCCATCCCTGCTCAGGCGGCTCCCTCTGGGTCCCTCAGCTCCTATGAGGTTCTCCCAGCTCTCCTGTACCTACATCCTGGAGGAGAGGCTTCCTATTCAGCCACCAGCCTCTCCCTTTCCCCGTCTGTAGGCCATTTCCTGGGGGAATGGGTCCTGGGACACCCAGCCATACTCCAGTTCCTTCTGGCCAACCATGGGCTGAGGGGCTCTGTCTGGAATGGAGACCCAGGTGGACCCCACCTATTGCCCTACCACCATCCATCCCCCCAACTCCTGTCTACCACCAGCCTTGTCTTTGAGAGGTGAGGTCCAAGCAGGCAGCAGGCAGACTTGGGCAGGTGATCGGTCACCAGGTTGACCATCCTAAGTTCAGCCCCTTGAAGGGAGTCCCTGAGCACTCAGCACAGGTGAGCTCAAAGGAGAAAAAGGGTTTTTCCAGGGGAGGCCTGGAAAGGCCTCTGGCGGGGGTGGAGGTGGCTGGTGCTTTTGTAAGTTTCTGGATGGTTACATGTTGGACTTGAATTTAGAAAGTGTCAGATGTTGCACGGCCCTTACAGCAGCCTGTGTATCCAGGGTCAGCCTGTGGGCATGATATGAATGCTTGTTGTGGGGCAGGGACCCGTATGTGGGCCGGGACAATGAATGTGGTGCAGGGATGTGTGCCAGACCCCAAGGGAGGTGTGGTTGGCTTCATCAGTAGTTTAGAAAGAGCCCCTGGCAGCCCAGGCCGGGGGAAGAGCCAGTGGAAAGGCCTGGAGGTGGGAACAGCTGAGGGGAGATGGGAGACCTAGTGGGAGTGGTGGGTAAATGGGGGGATGCAGGAGGGATGTTACACGCAGGGAATGACCCCTTTAGAGTCACCACAACCCCATTCCTGGTGCCCTGTGGACATGGCAGGGGATGGGTGTTCCCCAGGCCTCCCCTTCTCAACCATCACAGCACTGGGCACTGTCACCTGGAAGGACACAACCAGGCCTTCCTTGGGGTGTTCCCATCCGGCTGGAACGAAGAACAGCTCTCCAGAGGAGGGGACAGGAGTCAGCAGCCCAAGGCTGTCACTTGTCCCTGCTCAGCCTCCCTGCCCTTACCCACCCATGGGACCACCCCTGCCCAAGCAGTCGGGCCCATTCATTCATTCATTCCATCCAGCTATTTCCTGGGCCTCTGAGGAAACAAAACAGGTCCTGACTAGGTACAAAGCCGAGACCAGGAAGAAAACAGGTGTGGGGCTGGGGAGGAGCTGGAGGAGCTGCTGTGTGAAGGGTCATTTTAGGGGTGGGGACAGGTGTCCAGTCGCTTTGCAAAGTTGTCCCGGAGCACAGAGGTTGAGGGGTAGCTGGAGTTTGGGGGACCTGATCTTGGGAAGGGGTGGCTAGGAGTTCTGAGGACTGCCAGCACCGGTGTGGTCGTTTGGCTGATGTCCCCTCTGTCGCGCGATGCAAGAGGGCGAGTTTGAGGAGCCGCTGAGCGCTGGGGGCGGGGAAGCGGGGGAGATCGAGCACCCGGAATAAGGGATCTTTAAATGTAGGCGGGGCTTGCGGGGTCGCTGGGGGCGGGGCCAATCAGGCTTAGCCAATTGGGTGCACCGCCCGC